GTAAATCGCTCGGCGGCCGGTTTTCAGTTTCTGTTCCTGCGTCCAGGTCTCAGCTGCTGGACTGTCTGCGGGAGACCCGGGCCGAGAAGAAGGCGAGGCGGAAAGTCCTGAAGGAGTTCGAGGACGAGTTTTATCGACAGACCGGAAGGTGAGCACAAACTTTATTAACAACAGGAGCTTTTAACGCAGCGGCGGCGACGTGTGCGGGCAGCGACCTCGTTAACTCCTGTGTTTCCTGTCATTTGTGCATGTTGGACAGAATCTGCCAAAAAGAGGACCGAACTCCGATGAAGGAGGAGTACCAGGAGTACAAGCAGCTGAAAGCCAAACTGCGCCTGCTGGAAGTCCTCCTCAGCAAACAGGAAGTCGCCATGTGAGGAAAACCTGAGTGTAACCGAGCCAGCATCACTTCTCCCAGTCTGGAGGGAAAACTTTGGTTTCCTCACACGTTGAGCTTTTTCATATAAACTGAATGTGCTCGAGGTGGAAGCTTTACTGTGACGATAGTGGAGGACGTGTCAGGAGTTCAAATGAAGCTAAAAATCACAAACTGTGTGTGTGTTAACATGTGAAACACTCAGAAAAGCAATAAGATCAAAAACAGGCGCTTGACGCTGAAAGACGGCAGAAACCTCCTGAAACGTGCTCATTGGACACAAACCAGGAGGGCGGAGTTTAGCCGGCATCACGAGACAAAACGTCAGCTGTTTAAAGCGACCGCGTTCTTCTGCTTTATGGTGTTTTGCAGAAATTCCACCTGAATTATTTAATAAATGATTTTATTGATATTAGTGCTGAGCTCGGTGAATTCAACACGTGTTGAAATCAAATGATGGAAAACGGCGTCTCTCTGGAGGTTAAATCGAGTCTGTAAATCTTTCAGCGTGTCATCGCGCCTGATCACACGTTAGAGCTACAAACTGCATGTTCAGAGGTGGAGGCTTTACAGGTAGACACCACCAGGAGGCGCTGCTGAACACTTCTTTAATCATTCAGGTGTTTCTGTTTGTTCTGATGAGTTTTTGCACTGAAGCTACCAAAACGTGTTCGGGTTAAGTTCAGAGTTAAACACACGCGGCCATTTTTGGTGAGCGCACACTGAATCTTCTCGTTTCATTGATTTACTTTGTTCTGTCAGTTTCGCTGAGATCTGGTGTGTGTTGCCGTGGAGACGGAGGAAATGAAGCGTTTATGTCACTGAAGTGGGGCGTTCAGGCGTCACTCGTGCCGGTGCAGATGTATTTAAGTCACTTTATGCTGAAAAAGGACATTTAATTTTTTTCAGGTTGCTGTTGTAGCGACGGGTCGCTGCTGGAGTCTGTCGCGGTGCAGGCGGGTGCAGGCGCGTGCAGGCGGGTGCAGGCGGGTGCAGGCGCATGCAGGTGGATGCAGGTGGTGCAGGTGGAGCTCCTGTAGAAAAGAGAGCCTGCAGGGCGAGTAGCTGGAAACTGCAGTGCTCTTTAACCCACCGTGTGCGTTGGAGGAAACTCTCAGAACAACCGAGCGAAAAGCTTCCTGATGTTTTGCACGTTACACTCTCAGCATGTCGGCGGCGTTCCCGGGATTTAAGGTCAGTATTCAGAGCAGAATCCAGCCTTTCCAAACACTTCTCCTGAAACGTGAGATGTTCTGTGTTTCCCCGACGTCTCTGGTGAATCGTGTTAATGTTGTCGTTTGAATCTTAGAGCCGGCTGAGGTTGAACCTCCCGCTCTGAACGCTGCACGTTTGACACACAGGCTCTGCTGTGGTCATGAACTCGTGTTGATCCTGGTTGAAAAGCATCTATAAAGACAAATACTGAATAAATATTTTTGCTACCAACGCGACTCCAAATGTTTGTTGGTTTCTCTTTGTCCCTCACAGATTGATGCAAACCTTCACACAGAACGTTTAAATGGTTTATTTGGATTCACATATAGTCAGAGTTATTTTTCAGCACATGCAGCGTCTTAAAATCTGATGAGTCCTGAAGGACTTGGTGCTGGATGGTGGTCGTCTCAAACTGCTTCACTCGTAGTAGAAGCTGGCGGTGACCGTGAAGACGTCCGACGAGCCTTCGTACGGCGTTATGACCGGCTGCAGGCCTTTCAGCTCTTTGTAGTGGCCAAAGTGTTTGATCCTGTAGGAGCCCGCCGAGGCCGTCGGGGGAATCTGCCACTCCACTGTGGCGTTGCTCTCCCGGTTTGACCCCTTCAGCCAGTGAAACCTGCAGCAAGACAAGCGACTTTAACTCCTCAAAGGACCCTGGAGCTAAAAGAGGAACGTCTGCAACGAGACTTTAGTTTCAGTTTGTATGTTTTATGATTACAGCTCGTGAAAATCAGAAATCCAGGTTTAGACTTTGTGTTCTTTCAGAGAGGACACTTAACCTCGTCTACCTCACCTGTAGACAAAGGTGCCGGGTCATCTGCTGGTATTGGTACTGGTTGCCGATTCCACCTTCTCACAGTGCCCAATGCTATCAAATAGCTTAATGATATTGTTAGTGTTTCTGATTGGTCAGGAAACTCACCTGACCTGAACGCTGCAGACACAATCAGAAAGTCTGGAGTGGACGATAAACACTCGACCAGCTCCAACCAAAGCAACCCGAGCTTCAGTAACCGTCAGCACAGGCTGACGAGGGACTCAAACCAAGTACTGAGTGTATAAATACACATGCTGAAGAGAGGTTGGACATTTCTGTCTGCAAATCCTTTTCTGACCAAAGGAAATATTCTAAAAATCAGGTTTTTTGCTGATTTTCATGAGCTGTCGACCATTTTTTAAAATAAAATTACAAAATAAGTTTTTTTGTTGTTTTTAAAATCCTGATCAAATCTTTGAGATGCACAGCTACACATTAACCTACCTGGTCTCCCATGATGCATCGTTGTGGACAACCTCCCAGGTTTCTGTTCTGTTGTCAAAAATCTCAACAGTGACAAAAGTTTTATCCCTCTGCAACAAACGAGAGGAAGAGGTCAGAGAGACGTTTCAAGCGTCCTAGAAATGCTGGATAACGATGCTAAGCTAACAGTGGCTGAAACACTAGGATACAGGTGGATGAAGAAGAAGAGTTCTTACAATATCTCCAGAGTTTCTCGGGTTTCCTGCTACAAACGTGACCGTCACAACATCACCCTGAAAACCACATTAAATATTTAAGACTCATGTTGTCCACATAAACAGAGCGGCGTCATCAGCGTGGACCCTGAGGAGCACAGCAAGAGTGTGAAGGTGTTTCCTACCTGTCTGTAAACGGGGTGAACCTGCTCCAGGACGTCTCCAAAGCTCATATTCTCAGGTTTTCTGTCAAAGAGCGCCAGGGGCACAAAATTAAAGAGGTTCTCTGTGAAGAAGGGAGGCTGAGGGCCGGCTGGCAGCTCTGCGACTCTGTCCTGGAAACATGATTAATGTCTTTGTGTTACATAGGATTGGCTTCACACTGCAGTGAGGGTCTGCTGTTAATAATAATAATAATAATAATAAACTTTATTTATAAAGCACACTTAAAAACCAAGGGTATGCCAAGGTGCTTAACAAGTAAGATAGAGAATATGAGGAGGATAATAGAAATAGGACCAAAGCAAGTGCTAAGTATGCGAGCAGGTAGCTGTCACTGATACACAGGAAAGCAACAGGTAACGAGCAAACAAGAATTTAAATGAGCATAAAAGTGCATGATATAAAATCAGAAAAGAAATATTAACTAGAGGGAAAGGCAAGAATAAGTGGGTTTTTAGTCGTGATTTGAACAGATGTGCGGATATCAAGAGGAAGGTTATTCCACAGTCCCGGTCAGAGCAAACGCACGGTCACCCCGAGACTTCAGCCGAGATCTGGGTTGGGTCAGAAGTAGTTGAGTGGCAGATCTGAATGTTCTAGCAGGAGTCTGTGGTTTGAGAAGTTCACTAAGATAACTTGGCGCTAATTTATTAATAGTTTTGTAATATAGTAATATTTTAAATTGAATACGGTACTTTATGGGCAGCCAATGCAAGCTAGCTAGAACAGGAGTAATAGGGCAAAATTTCCTGGTACCAGTCAAGAGGCGGGCTGC